AGAGAGAGAGAGAGAGAGAGAGAGAGAGAGAGAGAGAGAGAGAGAGAATAATTGTCTCGTTTGTCTCCATGTGGGACTGTGATGGAAGGGGCAGGTAAAGGAAGGAGAGGAGAAAGAAGGAAAGACAGAAAGGAAGGAGTGGAGAAAGAAAGAAAGAAGGAAGTAAGTAGCATGTAAAGGAAGGAAGAAAGGAAGGAAGGAGCGGAGAAAGAAGGAAAGAAAAAAGAAAGGAAGTAGCGGGTAAAAGAAGGAAGGAAGGGAGTAGTGGGTAAAGGAAGGAAGGAAGGAAGGAGAAGAGAAAGAAGGAAAGAAAGAAAGGAAGGAAGAAAGGAGTGGAGAAAAGGGAAAGAAAGGAAGGAAGGAATGAAGGCAGGAGTGTAGAAAAAGGAACGAAAGGAAGGAAGGAATAAGTGGGTAAAGGAAGGAAGGAAAGAAAGAAAGGAAGGAAGGAAAAAAGAAAGAAAGAAAGGAGTGGAGAAAGAAGGAAAGAAAGGAAGGATGTATGTTTAAAAATGATGAAGGCACCAGCTGATGAATCGTCTCTACACTCAGACACTGTGACAGAGAGGAACAGATCGTGTGCATTCATGGTCCTGATATAATCTAAACATTAAACTTCTGACCATCGCAAGTTGTACATACCTGGGTGTTCGCCTGAACATCAAACTGAACTCTGACGAACTCAGAGTCCAGATGTTCCAAGAGTTTACTAGAAACAGCTGGAAGTCAGGTCAAATCTGATTGGTGAGCATGGTTTCAATCCCAAAACAAACATTCACAGAAACAGCACTACAACCTGCACATCAGAATCATGGACTATGAGGGTGGTCAGTTTTCGAGTAATCTGACCCACCTGTGTTATCGTTCTTCTGTCTGCCTTTGATTGGCTGGTTCATGTTCTCTCTAGCAGAAATACTGCCCTGAAAACACGCAGGAACACATAAATACACAACACCAGTTCAGTATATAACAGTGTAAACAGAGTCAGTACAAAGACATAAGGTCAAAGTTAACTCCTTTTGTTCTACATTACTTTGACCTTACTGTTAGTTTGTTCTGATAAACTGATGATTAAACTGGTCAGGATAAATCAGTCTCATGTGATTTTATTAATTCTCTGAAGTGATTTTACCTCATGAGTGTCAAAATCAACACCAAATTGTTTTTCATAAAGCATGGCCTGAAAGTCCTCCAAACTGCAGTCAATGCTGTCCAAGTAGTCCATGAGCTCCACCCTGTCAGGACACACAAAAAAAGACCTATTCCATCAGAACCAGAAACAACTGCAAGAATTCAAAAGCACTGGCCACCCAGCCTTGTCCTTTACCTGCCTTCACTTGATTTTTGTAATTTATTTATCAGTTTTGTCATTTTCAAATTATTTTAGTGACCTTATAGAGTTGTTCTTTCAATAACAAAGGGGAAACAAATACATTTGTGGTTGAGCATAAAACTAAAAACAAAGTAAAAACACCAAGCTCATCCTAGTCTTCCACTTGTGTGGTTCCACCACTTTAAACTCGGGTCCTCTACCAGAGGCCTGTGAGTTTGAGGGTTCTGTTCTGTATCTTAGCTGTTTACTTAATTTGTCTTTAATGGATGGTTATGTACCACAGAGCTTTAAGGATGCTGTAATTAAACCATTACTTAAGAAGTCTGATCTTGATTCAGAAATTCTGGCCAACTATAGACGTATATCTAATCTAACTTTCATCTCAAAAATTCTAGAGAAAACAGTTGCAGGTCAGTTGCGTGAACATCTACAAAGAAATAATCTGTTTGAAGAGTTTCAGTCAGGGTTTAAAGCTTATCATAGCACAGAAACAGCACTAGTAAAAGTCACTAATGATATTCTCATGGCCTCAGATAATGGACTTGTGTCTATACTGGTCCTGTTAGAGCTCAGTGCTGCATTTGATACAGTTGATCACAATATTTTACTACAGAGGCTTGAATATGATATTAGGATTACAGGAACAGTTCTAAAATGGTTTAAATCATATATATCTGATAGGTTCCAGTTTGTAAATGTACATAATAAATCTTCTTCATACACCAAAGTTAGTCATGGAGTTCCTCAGGGCTCAGTGCTTGGGCCAGTATTCTTTACTTTATATACACTTCCATTAGGTAAAGTTATTAAACAGCATGGGATAAATTTTCATTGTTATGCTGATGACACACAATTATATTTGTCCATTAAACCCAAAGAATCCAATCAGCTACTTAGACTACAAGCATGTCTTAAAGACATAAAAACCTGGATGACCCTTAATTTTCTCCTTTTGAACACAGACAAGACTGAGGTTTTGGTTTTTGGACCTGAGCACCTTAGGAATAATTTTTTCAGTCTTTCTCCCTCCTTAGATGGCATTAATCTGTCCTCCAGCTCTAATGTTAAAAATCTTGGTGTTATTTTTGATTAGGACATGTATTTTATCCCCCACATTAAAAACGTTACTAGAACTGCCTTCTTCCATCTGCGTAATATCGCTAAAATTAGAAACATCAAATCTAAAAATGATGCAGAAAAACTGGTCCATGCATTTGTCACGTCTAGACTGGACTATTGCAATGGTTTATTATCTGGATGTCCAAGTACGTCTTTAAAACGTCTTCAGTTGATCCAAAATGCTGCTGCCAGTGTCTTTACTGGAGTTAGTAGGAGAGATCATATTCCTCCAGTTTTAGTTTCTCTCCACTGGTTCCCTGTCAAATCCAGAATAGAATTCAAAATCTTACTTCTAGCCTACAAAGCTCTCAACAACCTGGCTCCATCTTATATTACAGATCTTATTGTTCCATATTTTCCTAACAGAGCACTTCGCTCTCAGGCTGCAGGTCTATTTGTGGTTCCTAGAATTTACCAGAACAGAATGGGAGGCAGATCCGTCAGTTATCAGGCTCCTCTCTTGTGGAACCAACTTCCAATCTCTGTCCGTGAGGCTGACACATTATCCAGTTTTAAAACTAGGCTTAAGACTTTCCTGTTTGCTAAATCCTATAATTAGGGCCGGCTTGGGTTTCCTGAGCTGTTCCTTAGTTATGCTGTTATAGTCTTAAGCCCCCAGTATACTCCTGCGTACGTCCATACGCAGAGGTACGCACGTACATACGCAGAGGTACGAGCGTACCCCCCAGGGCATGTCCGTGCAAAGCTCAAATTTTTACGATCGCATACGAGTATGCGGTGTCGCACAATAAACTGCCCTGCGACTAACTGTTTTGTATGAGACACCAATGTATTAAATTCCCTTTCTTCATCCCTGATCTGGCCTTTTCTTTTGTTTTTTTGCCAAGAGGCAAGTGAGCTCTTCCTCCTCCGTTGATGCAATGACTGAAATGGTGAGAAATGAAAGAATTTGTCACGAGCGAATTAAACCCAGGTCCAGCATGGCTGCGGGAGGGTCTGGAGATTTCCTGGTGGGTTGGTCTGATGTGTGGGCTGTAGAGCCAGCGCTCCCTGTTTTTTTTTTATTTTTTAGATCTTTTTATTAACAACATATAAACACAGAACACAGCTGCGGCTGCTGCCAGCGCTCTTTTTTTTTTCTTTTTCCGACCTGTCAATCAAACCAGTAGGCGTGTCAGCAAATGACCAATCGGCGACCTCAATTTGTCCCGAAGGTAAGCATCCCTTGTCTGTGAAGCTGCTCTGCAGCTGCTCAGGGTGTACGCTGAAGTATGAAGTCTGAACCCTCTGCGTACGGTACACAAGTACGTACGCGTGAACGGACGTACGCGGCAGTATACTGGGGGCTTAAGACTGCTGGAGGACAAACTGACCACACTTTTCACTTTGCTTCTGTCTTTACTTACTCTGCTCAACCTGTTTTGTATTTGTAATAATTTTTTCTATCCTTAACATGTGGTTTTTTTTTGTCTTTCAGATACACCTGGACCTATACCTGGACCTACCATTCTGTGTTCATCTGTCTCTCCTTCCTGTCCTCTCAAACCAGCCGGTCAAAGCAGATGGCCGCTTGTCCTGAGCCTGGTTTCAGTCCTAGGAACGCCTCAGGGTCCCCCAGGTGGAACTGTAATACAGTATGTCGATGGGGAGAGGGATGTCCAAGTTTCTCTCCTCGACCTGTTGCCTCCATGACCCAACTTTGGATAAGTAGTAAGTAAATTCTCTCAGGATATATGTGTCAACTCAGTAGAAACTACCATTTGAGATTGTTGTCAGTTTTACATATATTAAAAAAATCTACAACATAAACTATTAATTGTCAGAGGGCAAATAGTTTTGGCCTTTGCTTTTTTGTGACTTTTACTTGTTGCAATTAAAGAAATCAGTAAAAATGTTATTTTGTCTTATAAAGATGTCTATTCTTGTGGACACAAAACCTAAGTGGTTAGGTTTATGGCCCATGTCACTGAAAATACAAGTTTTATTTGATTTAGATATTTATTTGATACAGGGAGGCAAATAAATACATTGGCCATAAATGTATGAAACTTATGAAACTACAGAATAGTTATGTATACTTTGGGGGAAAAAAACATTGAAGTTTCCACTTACTTGCCCAGCAGATTGATGTTTTGTGATATTGCTCCATTATCATTCAGTATAGAATCCATTATCTTTACTGGGTCTTCTAGATTCAGACTTGAGGGCTTATTGAGCTGCAGGGCACTACTGGTTGGTCCACTGGTTGGTCCGCAAGTGGTTGGGTCATAGCCATCTGAGGTGATTCTTTTCAGGTTGTTATCTGCTGCTGACTTTTCTGTGTGTTTAACATCATCATCATCTGTACAGCTAGTGCTCACCTCGGTGTCAGCTGACAACACCTCACAGTCTTCCAGCTCTAATTCAACTATTTCTACATCACTGAAAAAAAAGGGAGAAAAAAGAACGTCATTAGAAAGATATGAAAATTCCTTCTAACAAGGTAACAGCTTATCTTGTTTTGTAGTAAAGAGCACACCTTAAGCTGAACATTTTCTGCAGATGAACAAATGCTCTAACAGAGGTCAGGTTAGGAATCTTACCCTTGCTCATGGGCTCTCGGAGATCTGTGTGTGATGTCAGCTGTTCCATCAGCATCGCTCCTCGTCAGGTCACAGATGACAACGTCATCTGAAATCTCTGCATCCTTTACACCATTCAGACTGTTGACTGACATCTAAACACAGCACACAAGATTAGAAATACGGGATTATTTAAAACATATTACACCAGATCTACAAATGAAGAAAAGACATCTTATGGAAACGGTTAGTTGTGTGTGATGGTTCTAGTTTGTTAAACCATTTCATCTATCCATCCACTGGTAACAGACCCAGGAGAGAAACTTAGTCATGCTTCTCTGCAGCAACTCTCTAGATCCTCCTGGGGGGTTCCAAGGTATTCAATGGCTAGCAAGGATACATAATCCCTCCATTGAGTTCTGAGGCCACCCGAGTTTTCTTTCTACCTGTGAGACACGCCTCTAAAGTAATAGGTCCAGGAATCATCCCAATTAAATACCCAACAACCTCAACTGACTGCTTTTCAGGAGGATAATCAACAGTTTTACTCAGAGCTCCTGTCAAGACAATGAAGGTCTTTACCTTGTTTCTTAGGTTGAGCCAAGCAACCCTACGGAGGAATTTTATTTCAGCTGCTTGGATCCATGATCTCTTTCTTTGTCATGATCCAAACCTGACCATAGGTGAGGGTTAGAATGTAAATGGACCAGTAAGTCAAGACATTTGCTTTTCAGCTCAGCTCTATCTTCACCATAAATGACTTGACTAACATCCTCATTAAATTAATTGAAAATTAATATTAATCTTAATATTAAATCAATATTAATATTATATCAATAAATATTATCCATGTCATTTTTATTTTTAGTTTTGCCAATTTCTGTTTGGACAGGATTTGTCCAATAAAAAAGGAATGAGTTTTAAAAAAGTAATGTGAATTTTTTTTTTCAGGCTGTGATAAATAAAAGATTGACTAACCTATTGTGGACAATAATTAAATTATATATACATTAAATATATAATTTATTTATAAATAAATATAAATTATATACAGCATAATTTTCACTGTAAATAAGTTGTTTTTGCATAAATTAGCATGCCTGGGACTTATACAGTGAAGCAATGTATTTGTTTCTTGTCTATATTTATAACCCAATTTGTGGCTGAGATCTGACCATTTCGGGGCAGCACGGTGGCGAAACCGGTAGAGCTGCTGCCTCTCAGTGAGCAGGTCTCTGGTTCAAATCCCGGTCTGGAGGCCTTTCTGGGTGGAGTTTGCATGTTCTCTCTGTGCGTGCGTGGGTTTTCTCCGGGTACTCCGGTTTCCTCCCACAGACCAAAAACATGCATGTTAGGCTGATTGGTAACTCTAAAATTGTCCCTAGGTGTGAGTGAGAGAGTGAATGGTTGTTTGTCTCGTTTGTCTCTATGTGTCCCTGTGATGGACTTGCGACCCGTCCAGGGTGTACTCCACCCCTCGCACAGTGATTGCTGGACATGGGCACCAGCGACCCCCGTGACCCAAAATGGAAGAAGCGGGTAAAGATAATGGATGAATGGATGAATTTGACAATTTCATTCATTCTAACATTGAAAATATTGAACACTAATTTTCAGCCACTAGAGGGTCCTCAACTTATATGGCAAGCCAAGTATCTCATTAATAGGTAAAAGTGGCTATTAACGAGACACTTGGCTTGCCATACAAAGCCACCTCCATCTCGCTCTGGAACTCCTGGAGCAAACAACAGCTGCATTTCACCATCCTGGCGCCCAGGTGAAATGTAGCTGATTTGACCATTAAAGTGCATTTATTAAGCAAAAGTTCAACTGAGACACACATTTACTATAATTTCAAGCAAACATATAATTGTTTTTAAGAGTTAATCTTGTTAAACTCTTGTTAAAGCCCTCTCGTCACACTCCCGTGGCCGCCATTTGGCAGCCAATAGATTTTTGGCACAACACCGGCCCACATTTCAGGGTGGTCAGTGGTGACGCGTAACAAATGCGACACGTCAGTGGTGACTCACAATAGATGTGACGAAGCAACATATTTGTTTTTATCCACTTTATTAAACATATATGAACTGATGCGTCTTATACGGTGGTGCGACATGTATGGTGGCAAGTACGCAATAGTTATGTAAGGTGGTCTTTTTCCCCCCATAAGAAGCAGTTCATGCCATAAACTTAAAGGACCCTCTGAGGGTTAATCCAACAATAACGGATTAGATTCAAAACAACGTTTGAGATCACCTAGTGCTTCTTACCTGATCAACACATGACTTCTCATCATAAATCTCATGAATGTATTTGGGTTTTTTTCCATTGCTGTTCATAAGAATTGATCTGCTAAAAGAAGAAAATACTTGTTTTACAATATTTACATATCATTTTTACATTATTTCAGACATTTAGTATGTTTTAGTTTTATTCAAGATGGTACCAAGTCTTAAACAAACAAAAAAAAGCTTTACGAAAATATGTCACCAATAATTTCCATAAAGAAAAAAGTAAGGAAAACAAGCATATCAAAACATTTTAATGGAATGAATGCAATTCAAATGAAACGCTGCTGCTGTTACGGTTATTAGAATGAAGTAAAAATTAAAACTACAACCCTAATTCAAAAATATGTTTAGATGTGTAAAATGTAACCAAAAAAATAATATAAGACAATTTATCAATCTGATGGCACCAAGACATTAAAAAAATACATATACAGTGAGGAAAATAAGTATTTGAACACCCTGCGACTTTGCAAGTTCTCCCACTTAGAAATCATGGAGGGGTCTGAAATTTTCATCTTAGGTGCATGTCCACGGTGAGAGACATAATCAAACAAACAAAAAATCCGGAAATCACAATGTAAGATTTTTTTAAATAATTTATTTTTGTGTTACTGCTGCAAATAAGTATTTGAACACCTGCCAATCAGCAACAATTCTGGCCCTCAAAGACCTGTTAGTCCGCCTCTAAAAAGGACGGGTTAGGGTTAGGACGACTGCACTGTATTAAGGAGAGGATGACTGGGGCCATGTATTGAGAGATGTTGGGGAACAACCTCCTTCCCTCAGTTAGAGCATTGAAGATGGGTCGTGGCTGGGTCTTCCAACATGACAATGACCCGAAGCACACAGCCAGGATAACCAAGGAGTGGCTCCGTAAGAAACACATCAAGGTTCTGGAGTGGCCTAGCCAGACTCCAGACCTAAACCCTATAGAAAATCTTTGGAGGGAGCTCAAACTCTGTGTTTCTCAGCAACAGCCCAGAAACCTGGCTGATCTAGAGAAGATCTGTGTGGAGGAATGGGCCAATATCCCTGCTGCAGTAAACCTGGTGAAACACTACATGAAATGTTTGACCTCTGTAATTGAAAACAAAGGCTACTGTACCAAATATTAACATTGATTTTCACAGGTGTTCAAATGCTTATTTGCAGCAGTAACACACAAATAAATTATTTAAAATTTCATACATTGTGATTTTCGTATGGTTTTTTTTTTTTTTTTAGATTATGTCTCTCACAGTGGACATGCACCTAAGATGAAAATTTCAGACCCCTCCATGGTTTCTAACTAAGTGGGAGAACTTAGAAAGTCTCAGGGTGTTCCAATACTTATTTTCCTCACTGTACATGTAGGCCTCCGCCCGTTTAATGATGGATGTGTTCTCTTCACAAAGATGGCTTCCGTCACGCCTCTCTCAGACCAGTGTTCCTCTCTATCGAGGATGTGAACATCTTCATCCCTGAAAGTGACCGCTGGCCTGCAGATGAGTGTAGAGTTTGCTTGCATCTCCTCAGACTGACGAAGTCTGTTGAAATGTTTCGTCTTTTAGCCAAAAAAGAAGAACCTGTCCAGAGAACCTGAATCAACCTTGTTACATGTATCTAATTGGGAAGACTTTGAATCTCCTATGCTCATCTACAGTTCATAATATCAAAAGACTTCAAGAAACTTAATAAATTGTGCCCAAAGGACGTGGTTGAATGTCAAGATTGGATGGTCGTGATCTTCGAGGCCTTGACGGCCACTGCATTAAAACCAAGTCCGGTTCTGTCTTGGACATCGCTGCATGAGCTCAGGAACACTAACAAAAATATTTGTCTGTAAATATAGTCCACTGTGCCATAAACTAATGCTGGTTAAAACTATCACGTAAAAAAATATAAATAAATAACTCTCATCTGTGAACACCATCCAGAACCACTGCCGTCTTCTCTGGACCAAAGTTAATTTCAAATGGACTAAGGCGAAGTGGAGAACTGTTCTGAGGTCAGACACATCCAAATGTGAAATTCTGTTTGAAAATCGCAGGTGCCACATCATCCATGCTATATGGACAAGGACCATCCAACCTGTTATCAGTGCACAGTTCAAAAGCCTGCCTCTCTGATGATATGGGGGTGCATTGCCCAGGCCATACACATCTGGAGACCAGAATTGTTGCAAAAAGGTATGACAGGTTTTGTTTACATTTTACAAAATGCCCCTACATTTTTCTAAATACGGCTTGTAAACCAAACTGCTGAACAATCACAAAATGCTGACAAGTTGGTACACTAACGCACAGCATCTTACACTGGGATTCATATTCTGTAAGAAGAGAAGAAATCTGCTCTTGCTCACATTGTTTCAAGACGTTCTTTTCCACATGAATGTTTCGTACTTAATGTCAAACTTTTGACAACCCCAAACCAAACCCCTTTGGTCTCCCTGTGGTGTGACGTTGCACATTCGTGGTGAGACGTATTGTGTCATTTCCTGTTTGTCTGTCGGTAGCTCGAGTGAATTGTTTGCTTGAGTCGTCTCTGTTTTCTGGATTTATCTGTCTTTTGCAGTTTTTCATTCTAGTTCACAAACACACTTAGTACAGTTGTTTTTCTACTGTTGGATAATGCTTAAAACACCTCTTATCTTTCAATACTTCTCGGTTTTTATTGGTGTATTAGGCTCTGCTAGCTCCTGCTAGCGTTAGCTTAGCATGGGTGCTTCTTCTCTCCCTGCTTCCTCTGTTTTCTCTTGCTCCGTGTGTCAGATGTTTAGCTACTCCTCTGCCTCCTTTAGTGGTAATGATACATGTAACAAATGTAGTGTTATGTATGGTAGCTTTGGAGGAGAGGCTGTCTGAACTGGAAGCTCGGCTCCGTGCTGTAGAAAAACCAGTAGCTAGCCAGGTCCTCCAGTGCGGAACCACAGAGGTTAGTTAGCTCCCGATGGCGGTCCTCCAGCAGACCCCGAGCAGCCGGAACCCCAGGCCGGCTGGGAGACGGTCCGGAGCAAGTGTAGTGCTAAGGCTAAGCCCCCAGTTCACCACCGACCCGTTCACGTTTCTAATCGATTTTCCTCGCTCAGTGACAGACCCTGGTTATTGGCAGCTCCATAGTCTGAAACGTAGCTTTAGGGACTCCAGCGGCCATAGTCAAATGCATTCCGGGGGCCAGAGCGGGCGACATAGAATCTTATCTGACACTACTGGCTAAGGCTAAATACAGTAAGATTGTTATTCACGTCGGTGGTAATGACATCCGGTTACGCCAATCGGAGGTCACTAAAATTAACGTTGCTTCGGTGTGTGACTTTGCTAAAACCATGTCAGACTCCATAGTTTTCTCTGGCCCCCTCCCCAACCTGACCAGCGATGACATGTTTAGTCGTATGTCGTCGTTTAACCGCTGGGTGTCCAGGTGGTGTTCTGACAACGACGTGGGCTACAAAGATAACTGGAGTTTTTTCTGGGGAAAACCTGGTCTGATGCGGAGAGATGGCATCCATCCCACTTTGGACGGAGCCGCTCTTCTTTCTAGAAATATGGCAGATTTCGTTTATCCCCCAAATTATTGACAACCCAGGGTCCAGTCCAGGAAGCAGAGTTGTAGTCCTCCACACCTCTCTGCTGCTTCTCCTCTGTTACCCACCCACACCCACACCCCCATTGAAACAGTGTCAACTCGCCAACGGCTCTAATTAAATAAACCAAAAATCAACTCTAAAAACAGAAACCATAAAAATCTGATTAAAATAAACACAGTTACTTTACCAGAGCAAAATCATAAAATCATTAAATGTGGATTATTGAACATCAGATATCTTTCCTCTAATTCCCTGTTAGTTAATGAACTGATAACTGATCATCATATTGATATATTCTGTCTGACAGAAACTTGGCTACAACAGGAGGATTTTGTTAGTATAAATGAATCCACTCCTGTTAATTATTTAAATTTTCATGTTCTTAGAACAACTGGCCGAGGTGGAGGAGTAGCTTCTATTTTTCAGTCAGGATTATTGATTAACGTCAAACCAGTTATTAGTTATGATTCTTTTGAATCGCTGTCCCTCAGTCTTTCTCATCAAAAATGGAAATCAGAAAAGCCACTTTCACTAGTTGTTATATATCGTCCACCAGGCACTTACTCTCAGTTTTTGTCTGAATTCTCAGAATTCTTAACTGACTTATTATTAAATACTGATAAAATCATCATAATGGGTGATTTCAATATTCATGTGGATGTTGAGAGTGATAGCTTAAGCATAGCCTTTAATAATTTAATAGTCAGTTGGTTTTATCCAAAACGTCCGTACATCTACTCATTCTTATCATCACACTCTTGATTTAGTTCTGACCTATGGTATAGAGCTGGTGTGCCCAACCAGTCGCTCGCGGGCGCGAAGCCTTGACTTGTATTCTCACAGACATAGTCTCGCGAGTTTTGGGTGCGGTGACACAGCGCTCTCACGAGACTTTAGGCTCAGTAGTGGAGTAATGTCGGTGCGCAGAAAACATGGATGGAAAACTAGCGAACAAGCAAACGAAAACTTATTATTTTCACACAGAGTGGGAGGAGGAGTATTTTTTTGTTTATTCTAATTCGAAGTCCATTTGCCTCATCTGTAATTCGAGCGTTGCCTTACCCAAAAAGTGTAACTTGGAGCGGCATTTCAAGACGATGCACAAACGGTTTGAGACAGATTTCCCTCTTAAAAAGTTCTTTACGGACTCAGAAAGTGCGGGAGCTAAAAAACAAGCTTGCAGCCCAGCAATCAGTCTTCACTCGGCCCAGCACAAAAGGTAAAGCTGCTACGATAGCTTCCTACCGTGTTAGCCGCATCCTGGCTCAACATAAGAAGTCTTTCAGCGATGGACAAGTTATGAAAGAAGCGTTTATTGAGGCTGCAGATGCGCTTTTTCATGATTTTAAAAATAAAAGTGAGATCGTAGCTGCTATTAAAGACGTGCAGTTGTCCAGACAAACAGTGACACGGCGATGTGAGGGAATGGCTGTGGATGTGGAGGAGCAGCTAAAAAAGGACGTGGAACAATGTGAGTGTTTCTCTCTTCAGTTTGATGAGTCGACAGACATGGTGGATGTAGCCCAGCTGTGTGTTTTTATCAGAATGGCCTTTGCAGACATGAGTGCAAAAGAGGAGCTGCTCACCATCTTGCCTTTGAAGGGACATACAAGAGGAGAATATATTTTTAATGTGTTTATGGAGTTTGTTAATAAAAGCAACTTGCCCCTCTTTAAACTAATTTCTATAACAACTGATGGCGCTCCAGCAATGACTGGTCACACCAGTGGATTTGTTGCACTCTGCAAGCAGAATGATGCTTTCCCAGACATTTTGCACTATCACTGCATCATCCACCAACAGGCCCTGTGTGGGAAGATTTTAAACATGAAGGAAGTGATGGATGTTGCCATGAAAACTGTGTGTTCTATAAGGGCCAGGAGTCTGCAGAGGAGGTTGTTCCGGGCTCACTTGGAGGAGGCAGGAGCAGACCACACAGACCTGCTGCTGCACATGGACGTCAGGTGGCTAAGCAGAGGTAAATTTCTGGACAGATTCAGTGAGCTGTTGCCTGAGATCAGGGATTTTCTGAAGCTGTCAGATCATGGTGAACATTCAAAACTAGAGGACACCCAGTGGCTTTTGGATTTAGCCTTCCTCACAGATCTCACCAGCCTGCTCAATGAACTGAATTTGGAGCTTCAGGGAAAGGACAAAAACATAATCCACATGATCAGTTCTGTGAGCACCTTCAAAAGCAGGCTGCAACTGCTCACAAGTCGGCTGCAACGCAGGGACCTGCGAAACTTCCCACACATGGAGGCAGAGCTACAGAGCCAAGGGAAAGAGGTCCCACAACTGGACAGTGCACACTATTCTAAGCAGGTTCAGAGCATCTCAGCAGAATTTGAGAGACGATTTACTGACTTTTCCTCCATCGAGCCTGTTACCAGCTACATGTGTTATCCTTTTGGAAATGTTGATGTGGATGACATTGTGTCCAAATTGGTGTCCGTGTTTCAGCTGGACAGCTCTGGTGTTGAAAATGAGGTGTTGAGTCTGCAAAATGACATTGGGATCAAATCCAGAGCATCACCTGGCGTGGATGGAGAGTTCTGGAGTCTGCTGTCAGAAGAAAAGTATCCTAGCATCCGAAGATGTGCTTTGAACTTAACAGCACTTTTTGGATCTACCTACCTGTGTGAGTCTGCTTTTTCACACATGAAAATCATCAAGTCCAAAAACAGATCCACAATGAATGATGATCATCTGGAGACCTGCCTGCGCCTCGCAACCACCTCATACTGCCCAGCTTATGAGACCCTGGCCTCCTCCTCTCAGTGTCAGAAGTCCCACTAAGGTAGAGACACATTTATTTTATACAGCTTGCATAAAAAGTTGTCTCCTATAGACACATCACGTTCTGTTTTATTTACTTTAAAGAAGTGAGGAGTAGGGATTGACGAAAAATTATGTTTGTTGATAATGAGACTGGACGAGTAGCTCTCGGCAAATTGCCGACTTCAAAAGTAGCTCTTGGTTCAAAAAAGGTTGGGCACCCCTGATCTAGTTGATCATCTTACAACTTCAATGCAAACTTCACTTGATAAAATTGCTCCACTGAAAAAGAAAGTAATCAGTCAGAGGAAACTGGCTCCTTGGTTCAATTCTGAGTTACGTACTTTAAAGCAGGCATCTAGAAACCAGGAGAGAAAATGGCGCTCTACTAATGTTGAAGAATTTTATTTAACTTGGAAAGATAGTCTGCTAACATATAAAAAAGCTCTCCGTAACGCTAGAACTTTATAATACTCATCTTTAATAGAGGAGAAGAAAAATAACCCTAGTTTTCTGTTTAGTACTATTGCTAGACTAATTAAAAGTCCCATTTCTGTTGAACCATGTATCCCTACAACTATAAGTAGTGATGACTTCATGAGATTCTTTATAAATAAAATTATTTCAATTAGAGAGAGAATTCAAACCATCCTTCCTTCTACTATCTCTAGTCCCCTGTCAAATGAGACAACTTAAAAAATTTCACTAGAGCCTGATTTATGTTTGAACAGTTTTTGTCCTGTTGAGCTCTCTGAATTGTCAAAAATAATAACCTCATCCAAACCATCCACATGTCTGCTAGATCCCATCCCAACCAGACTGTTTAAAGAGGTATTTCCCCTAATTAATGTCCACATCTTGGATCTACTTAATTTGTCTTTAATGGATGGTTATGTACCACAGAGCTTTAAGGTTGATGTAATTAAACCATTACTTAAGAAGTCTGATCTTGATTCAGAAATTCTGGCCAACTATAGACCTATATCTAATCTAACTTTCATCTCAAAAATTCTAGAGAAAATAGTTGCAGGTCAATTGCGTGAACATCTACAAAGAAATAATCAGTTTGAAGAGTTTCAGTCAGGGTTTAGAGCTCATCATAGCACAGAAACAGCACTAGTAAAAGTCACTAATGATATTCTCATGGCCTCAGACAATGGACTTGTGTCTATACTGGTCCTGTTAAACCTCAGTGCTGCATTTGATACAGTTGATCACAATATTTTACTACAGAGGCTTGAATATGATATTGGGATTACAGAAACAGCTCTAAAATGGTTTAAATCATATCTATCTGATAGATTCCAGTTTGTAAATGTAAATAATAAATCATCTTCATACACCAAAGTTAGTCATGGAGTTCCTCAGGGCTCAGAGCTTGGGCCAATACTCTTTACTTTATATACGCTTCCATTAGGTAGTTATTAAACAGCATGGGACAAATTTTCATTGTTATGCTGATGACAAACAATTATATTTGTCCTTTAAACCCAATGAATACAATTAGCTACTTAGACTAAAAGCCTGTCTTAAAAACATAACAACCTGGATGACCCTTAATTTTCTCCTGTTGAACACAGACAAAACTGAGGTTTTGGTTTTTGAACCTGAGCATCTTATGAATTAATTTTTCAGTCTTTCTCCCTCCTTAGATGGCATTAATCTGTCCTCCAGCTCTAAATTTAAAAATCTTGGTGTTATTTTTGATCAGGACATGTCTTTTATCCCCCACATTAAAAACGTTACTAGAACTGCCTTCTTCCACCTGTGTAATATCACTAAAATTAGAAACATCTTATCTAAAAATGATGCAGAAAAACTGGTCCATGCATTTGTCATGTCTAGACTGGACTATTGCAATGGTTTATTATCTGGATGTCCAAATACGTCTTTAAAACGTCTTCAGTTGATCCAAAATGCTGTTGCCAGAGTCTTAACTGGAGTTAGTAGGAGAGATCATATTTCTCCAGTTTTAGCTTCTCTCCATTGGCTCCCTGTCAAATCCAGAATAGAATTCAAAATCTTACTTCTAACCTACAAAGCTCTCAACAACCTGGCTCCATCTTATATTACAGATCTTATTGTTCCATATTTTCCCAACAGAGCGCTTCACACTCAGGCTGCAGGTTTACTTGTAGTTCCTAGAATTTACAAAAACAGAATGGGAGGCAGATCTTTCAGTTATCAGGCTCCACTCTCTTGTGGAACCAACTTCAAATCTCTGTCCGTGAGGCTGACACATTATCCAGTTTTAAAACTAAGCTTAAGACTTTCCTTTTTGCTAAATCCTATAGTTAGGGTCGGCTTGGGTTTCCTGAGCTGTCCCTTAGTTATGCTGCTATAGGCTTAGACTGCTGGAGGACAAACTGACCACACTTTTCACTCTGCTGCTGTCTTTACTTATTCTGCTCAACCTGTTTTGTATTTGTAATTATTTTTTCTATCCTTAACATGTGTTTTTTTGTCTTTCAGATACACCTGGACTTACCTACCATTGACCTACCATTCTGTGTTCGTTTGCCTTTCCTTCCTGTCCTCTCAACCAGCCGGTCAAAGCAGATGGCCGCTTGTCCTGAGCCTGGTTCTGCTGGAGGTTTCTTACTTTTAAAAGGGAGTTTTTCCTTTCCACTGTTTCCACTGTGCTTGCTCAGGATGGGAGACTGCAACAAAGCCAAGATTTATCTTGTCTGCTGGATTCCGTAGATAGAGAACTTTACTAATTGGTTTTTATGTATGTGAATGTTTCTGTAAAGTGCCCTGAGACAACTTTGTTGTGATTTGGCGCTATATAAATAAACTGAATTGAATTGAAACTTTAGCACAGTACTCCCAGGAAGCTCCACCACCACTACCCCACAGCACTGGAACAGATGCTTTTCTGTCCCTGTTGAGTTTCACTTCCCTTACTGCCACCAGAAACTTTATTGTACAGACTGAGACAGTACACAGTTTCCAGACCTTGTATCAAGAAAGAGTTCTGGAAACTCGGAGAACAAAATGATGTCATGCAAGTTTGACAGGGAGAGCAGATTTCTTCACTTCTTGTGGAGTATGAATCCAACTTCTCTATGCAAACCAGTTTCACAAAATATATAAAATGCATATGAACAAACACGTGTATGTACACACACTATTAAAATTATTTACCCTCTTGAATGCTTTATGCTTTTATTGCCGTTATAAATCAATCAAGGTCAATTTTAATAGGCTTTGTCTTAAAACAGAAAAAAAAAACTTTAATAACAAATGGAAATTATATTTCTACAAAGTATTGCCAAAAACTGTCATGTGAAATAAGTGATGAATAAATATTTACCACCTTTAAAACAATTGTCCCAATGTTGGCTTTTCCAGTTTAATATACACCAAGTGACTTCCATCACTTCTCTTTCGAACCATCTATCTTCTCTGTTCAATGAACAACACTGTCCTCAAAGTTGATATATAGGTGGACAGCTAAGTCTTGACCTTAGCAGTTAGCATTTAATCAAGCAGACAGCAAGCCCAACATCTTACTGGGCAGATGGGTGGGACAGTAACAAACCCATCAATGTAAATGTCCCAACAAAAGCTTCCATACAACAATCAGAACTGAAGAAACATTTCAGTTTAGAGGAGACAAATTTCCAGTACACATGTCCAGGTGCTTATAATCTCACCTGAATGGACATTAGGCTGAACTCACCTTTTGCGTTTCAAATTCAAAACGTGTTTGCTCTTTACCAACGTGATGATGAAATGTATCAGCTAGAGGAAAAGAGCAGTAAATAGGATTAAACGAATTAGATGATTGAACCATTAATATTTCCAAAGAATTGTTCAACGTTAGCATAGTAGACAGTAGTCTGTCTCAGAAGGATGAACATTAAAATATACAATAGAAAACAAAAATGGTCATCAGTGTAAAATTCTCCTTTAACCAAAATTCATAAATCACAGCTTTAACTCCAGTTCTCCTAGTTAGAATTATGAGTGAAATGCACCAAAAATAAATGTTTTAACCACAAGACATGAATTAAGAGAAAGCTTCAATAAAAGTAAATCTGCTGAACAGATTTAGCTAAGATCAAGAATGAGGGATGTTAAAGGAGGCCAGATGGTTCCACATAATTCAAACTGCTGTTTTTCTTGTGATTCTTACCTTTTTAATAAGCTGTTGCTGGTGAGTATGTTTCTGTCGTAGGTCTGAAATTTCCCTCCACAGAGCTTCATTCTCCCTGAACAACAAACAGGAAACTGTTTCAGTTTTAACAGATAAACCAGATCTGGGATAAACCAGCCACTAGGAAACACAAGATAGTTTTTCCCAAATGCCAGTTCCAAGCACAATCAGTCAAACCACCACTACTACTGGTGCTGTAGACAAATGGGATGTGGGCAGAAATTGTGCTACTGTTAGTTAAAGACTAACGGGAAGGAAACGTGTCAAGAGACAGAGGGAGAATAGGAAAGTCAAGAGTGTAGGACTGAGGGTTGCAACTCTAAATGTGGGGACAATGACAGGCAAAAGTAGAGAGCTGGCTGACATGATGCAGAGAAGGAAGGTAGATGTTTTAGATGTATTTTGTGTGAATGTGACCAAGTGGAGGGGCAGCAAGGCTCACAGCGTTTGAGCAGGGTTTTATCATGGAGTGGATAGAAAGAGAAATGGAGTAGTGGTGGTCCTGAAGGAGGAGTTGGCAAAGAATGTAGTAGAGGTAAAAAGAGTGCCAGATAGGGTGATGTGCCTGAAGGTAGAAGGTCTGATGCTAAATGTTGTCAGTGGTTATGCTCTACATGTTGGATGTAAGGTAGAGGAAGGGAAAGGAAAGGAACCAGGAAGGACAATTGGTGGTGGATTTTACAAAGACAATGGAAATGGTTGTGGTCAACAACTATTTCTAAAAGACCCAAAAAAGTTCAAACTGGTCCTCTGGACATTCAAAAAAAACTAACAAAAAAAAAAAAAACCAAACAAAACAAAGCAAAAAAATATAGAAAAGTTTCGTCTCTCATCCAAGAGACTTCCTCAGTCTGAGGTGCTGTTTTCAGCTCAGTCTCTTAAATAGCACCTTCTCAGGTGCTAACTCTCAACTAACAACTCTTTTGGTTGTCAGCAGCAAACTGGTTGATCCACTCTGAGAAGGTGCTATTTAAGAGACTGAGCTGAAAAGAGCACCTCAGACTGAGGAAGTCTCTTGGATGAGAGACGAAACGTTTCTATATTTTTTTGCTTTTTTTTTTTTGAATGTCCAGAGGACCAGATTGAACTTTTTTGGATTTTTCTACCTGGATTATTGAGCATGCATCAGGATATTTCTAAAAGAGAGCAGAACATGAAAGAGTGAAGGCAGGAGTATGCAGATAGACTGTAGAAGACGTAACCGGAAGGAAGATTGGGGACTGTAAGGTTGTGGCAGGGAGAATGTGGCCAGACAGCTTTGGATGGTCGTGTGTAGGATGACTGTTGTTGTTGTGAAGAAGAGAAAAAAGATCAAAAGAGTAGACCAAATGGTGGAAGCTGAGGAAGGAAGAATGTTGTGTGGAGTTCAGAGAGGAGCTGTTAAAGGCTCTGGGTGGTAAGAAAGAGTTCACAAATGACTGGGCTACTACAGCAACAGTAATTAGAGAGACAGGTAAAGTGCTAGGGTACAGGTACTTGGTGGGTTATTTGAACAAAGAAAACATGATAAGGAAACATGGTGGTGAAACAGTGAAGTACAGGAAGTTATCCAGAGGAAGAGGATAGCCAAGAAGAAATGGGACAGTAAGAGGACTGAATATAAGGAGATGCAATGTAGGGCAAAGAGGAAGGTAGCAAAACAAAAGGCGTATGATGAGAAAACGAGAGGCTTGATACTAAGGAGGGCAAGAAGGACTTATATCAACTGGCGGGACAGAGGGATCAGGATGGAAAGGATGTGCAGCTGATTAGGCTTGTTAAAGATAGGAATGGTAATGTTCTAACAAGTAAAGAGAGTGTGATGGAAAGATGGAAAGATTACTTTGAGGAGATAATGAATGAAGAACATGAAACAAAAAGATGAGTACAGATTATAGAAACTGTGGACCAGCAAGTGGAAAAGATGAGTGAGGATGAAGTTTGGCAAGCTTTGAAGAAGATGAAGAAGGGAAGGCAGTAGAACCTGATGACATACAAAAAAAGGTTTGGAAATGTCTTGGAGAGATGGTAGTGAGGTTTTTGACTCAAATATACAATGACATATTTTAGGGTGAGAAAATGCCTGAGGAATGAAGAAGAAGAAGTGTGCTGGTGCCCATTTTTAAGAACAAGGGTGATGTACAGAGTTGTAGCAACTACAGGGGAATTAAGTTGATGAGCCACGATGAAGATCTGGGAGAGAGCTGTGGAAGCAAGACTTAGACCAGAGGTGAGTATTGTGAGCATCAGTATGGATTTATGCCAAGGAGCAGCACCACAGATGCCATATTTGCTTTGAGGATGCCAATGGAGAAGTAAAGAGAGGGTCAGAAAGAACTCCATTGTGTCTTTGTGGATTTTGAAAAAACATATGACAGGGTGCCGAGGGAGGAGGTGTGGTATTGCATGAGGAAATCTGGAGTGGCATAGAAGTATGTTAGACTGGTACAGGACATGTATGAGGACAGCAGAACAGTGGTGAGATGTGCTGTATGAGTGACAGATAGCTTCAAGGTGGAGGTGGGATTGCATCAATGATCGGCTCTGAGCCCCTTCTTGTTTGCTCTGGTGATGGACCGACTAACAGATGAGGTCAGGCAAGAATCTCTGTGGACTATGATGTTTGCAAATGACATTGTGATCTGTGGTGAGAACAGGGAACAGGTGGAAGAGAACTTGGAAAGGTGGAGGTATGCACTTGAAAGAAGAGGAATGAAAGTCAGCTGTAGTAAGACAGAGTACATGTGTGTGAATGAGAGGGAGTCTGGTGGAACAGTGAGGCTACAAGGAGCAGCGGTCACAAAGGTGCAAGACTTCAAGTACTTGGGGTCCACTGTCCAGGGAAATGGGGAATGTGGTAAAGAGGTGAAAAAGAGAGTCCAGGCCGGATGGAGTGGATGGAGAAAAGTTTCAAGAGAGATTTGTAACAAAAGGGTGTCAGCAAAGGTCAAAGGAAAAGTTTACAAGTCAGTGGTGAGACCAGCTATGTTGTATGGTCTGGAGACATAGACATGGACAAAAAGACAGGAGAAAGAAAATGTGACTTCAAAGTAACTGTCCTAATTCAACTCGGATTTATTTTTTAAGAACAAGTCAGGGGAATGTCCCAAAGGGATTTCAAAAGGTAAACATCTCCAGGAGTTCTGTAAAATCCATCATTAAGAAATGGAGAAAATATGAGACATATTACTACTTAAGAGCAAGCTGTCCTCACAAACAGATTAACCAAGAAAAAGGAGAATAGTGAGAGATGACACCAAGACATGTGAGCACTCTGAAGGTGTAACAAATTTCAGTAGGTGAGATGGGAGACTGAGCATACATCAACTGTTGCCAGACTTCATCAGTCTGAGCTTATGGTAGAGTGGCAAAATGAAAGACACTGTTGAAGAAAACTCAATAAATCTCAACTACTCTTCCAAAGTCTCAATTTGGCAAACTTGAGATTTAATAAGCTAATTATTAATAATGATAATTAATTAATTTAACTGGAGTAGAAAATGCAGTGTTCTCTAGATACGACACATCCACTGAAGTGAATATAACCAACCATTAGAAGCGAAAGCCTACCACCACTGTATCAGCTGTCTAGTTCAAACTTTACCATCAACCTGTATTTATTAAGTTTTTCATATCCTCCCTTTACTAACACTTAACAGATTTCAAGAAAAATAAATGTGGTTCTTGAAAAAGCTAACATTTTTAATCTTATTTATCAGTGAAGAAAGAAAACGTGACAGGTGCTGACAAAAGAAGTTGGAATGAGCATAGTGCAAAAAATGTAAAATTATATATATATATATTTGCTGCAAATAAGATTTAGATAAAAATAAGCCCATAAAGACAACATCTACTGATCACAATCACTAAAATATCTTTAATTTCCTAGTCTATATTTCAATCAAAGTTTTCTAACAGATGCGTCTTCAGAAATAATCTTTCAATATTCCTTTTAATTTCCTTTGAAATAGACCACTTTTCTCTCCTGGATGAAACAGCACCAGGAAATATCTTCATCTATTTCACTGTGAAGGGTCAGGATTCCTCTTTTAAATAAAGGATTGACATCACTCCAGACCCATTCAAATCAAGTTTTCAAACAGACACACTGGTAAACGTAACTAGCTTGTTACTAGCCAGGTGACATATTGCTAATTTTCTATGAAGTTTTTGTAAAAACATGTACCTCTTCAGTGTTGTGAGCCTGAGGTTGATGTTCTCCTGTTTGCTGTGAACACTCTGAACGCTCGCTAAGATCTTGGACAGGTCTTCATTTCTAACCTTATTGTCTTCAGGCCGAGCATTAGAAACCTGGAAAAAATTATACAAACATGAAGGGCTATAAAGATTAAACTGTATTAAAGTTCTGACACGTTATCTACTTATAGAAAGTTTCCATGGGCCCAAAATTCTCAGCATATGGTCTCTTCCACCCAGCCCTTCTTCATGCCCTATTCAAACCCTTTGCAGACTATGGCACCAGCATCTGTACTGTATGATTTGATTCTGACCTTACTTGAATAAAGTCTAAACACAAATATTTGGCTGTTGTTTTAGACCTTTATTTTAATTGTGTGCCTCACATTAATAAAGTGTTATAAACTATAATTAATACTTTTCTTTCCACCTTTTGGCTACTTCCATCTTCAGAGGTTGTCACAGCAACCTATTTTCATTGTTGTGCTGATGACACACAATTATATTTGTCCATTAAACCCAATGAATCCAATCAGCTACTTAGACTACAAGCATGTCTTAAAGACATAAAAACCTGGATGACCCTTAATTTTCTCCTGTTGAACACAGACAAAACTGAGGTTTTGGTTTTTGGACCTGAGCACCTTAGGAATGAATTTTTCAGTCTTTCTCCCTCCTTAGATGGCATTAATCTGTCCTCCAGCTCTAATGTTAAAAATCTTGGTGTCATTTTTGATCAGGACATGTCTTTTATCCCCCACATTAAAAACGTTACTAGAACTGCCTTCTTCCACCTGCGTAATATCACTAAAATTAGAAACATCTTGTCTAAAGATGATGCAGAAAAACTGGTTCATGCATTTGTCATGTCTAGACTGGACTATTGCAATGGTTTATTATCTGGATGTCCAAATACTTCTTAAAAACGTCTTCTGTTGATCCAAAATGCTGCTGCCAGAGTCTTAACTGGAGTTAGTAGGAGAGATCATATCTCTTCAGTTTTAGTTTCTCTACATTGACTCCCTGTCAAATCCAGAATAGATTTCAAAATCTTACTTCTAACCTACAAAGCTCTCAACAACCTGGCTCCATCTTATATTGCAGATCTTATTGTTCCATATTTTCCTAACAGAGCACTTCGTTCTCAAACTGCAGGTTTACTTGTGGTTCCTAGAATTTACAAAAACAGAATGGGAGGCAGATCTTTCAGTTATCAGGCTCCTCTCTTGTGGAACCAACTTCCAATCACTGTCCGTGAGGCTGACACATTATCCAGTTTTAAAACTAGGCTTAAGACTTTCCTTTTTGCTAAATCCTATAGTTAGGGTCGGCTTGGGTTTCCTGAGCTGTCCCTTAGTTATGCTGCTATAGGCTTAGACTGCTGGAGGACAAACTGACCACAATTTTCACTCTGCTGCTGTCTTTACTTACTCTGCTCGACCTTACCGCTGCATTTGACACTGTTGATCACAGCATCCTTATGTCACGGCTAGAACACTGGGTTGGGATATTACAGGGGTGGTGCTAGAATGGTTCCGTTCGTATCTGGGTGACAGGAGTTTCTGTGTTAACTTTGAAAATAATTTTTCTGCTTCTGTCCCTCTTCCTTGTGGGGTCCCACAAGGCTCCATTCTTGGACCCCTTCTGTTCTCATTGTATCTGCTCCCCTTGGGGTCAATCCTGAGGAAACATGGTATTTTGTTTCACTGTTACGCCGATGATTCTCAGATCTATCTGCCTTTAAAACCTGACAGTTCCTGCTCCATCCACCCTTTGCTAAAATGTCTTGATGACATCAAGACTTGGATGGCTGCAAACTTCTTGAGTTTTAATGATCAGAAGACTGAGGTCATTGTGTTTAACCCAAGCTCTACCACTGTCACTGATCCTGTAAACCTGCACTCCCTTCAGCCACATCTAAAGCAGTCGGTTACCAATCTCGGGGTAGTGTTAGGCTCGGACTTTAAGTTTAATAAACAAATCAACTCTGTTCTACAAAAAAGCTTCTTTCAGCTAAGGCAAATAGCAAAGCTTAAGTCCGTTCAGTCCAGATTCGACCTTGAAAATCTAGTCCATGCATTTATTACAACCCGACTGGACTACTGTAACTCACTTTATGTTGGAGTCAGTCAGGCTTCCTTTCATGTCTCCAACTCGTACAAAATGCTGCAGCTCGGCTACTAACAGGAACTCGCAGGTTTGAGCACATTACTCTGGTTCTGTCCTCCCTTCACTGGCTTCCTGTACGTGTTAAGAGTTGATTTCAAAATTCTCCTGCTGACGTTCAAGTGCATTAACGGCCTCGCACCATCATACCTCTCTGACCTTCTTCATCCTTGTACTCCTTCTCGGGCTTTGAGATCATCAGACCAGCTGCTTTTGGCCGTACCAAAAACCAGGCTGAAGCTCAGAGGAGATCGAGCGTTCTCAGTCGTGGGCCCTAAACTCTGGAACAATCTGCCCATCAACATTCGACAAGCCACCTCAGTCTCTGCTTTTAAAGCTCTCCTAAAACCCACCTATACTCATTGACATTTAACACAGGGTGATCGGATTTGATCTAGTTTTTCATTGATGCTGATTCTGTTTATGCTTTTGTTATTATTCCTATTCAACACAAGGTCATCAGATCTGATTTAGTATTTCATTGTTTCTGACTGAGTTTATGCTTTTTGTTATTATTTCCTTGACTTTTGACACAACGTGATCTGATTTAGTATTTCATTGTTTCTAATTATGTTTTCGGTTTTATATTTTTATTCCATGTACTGTAAATATATCTTGCTACTTTTTATTTGATGATGTGATATTTTTGTTAAGCACTTTGGTAAGTTTGTTTTAAATGTGCTCTATAAATAAATCTGACTTGACTTGACTTGCTGAACCTGTTATGTATTTGTAATTATTTTTTCTATCCTTAACATGCGTTTTTTGTCTTTCAGATACACCTGGACCTATACCTGGACCTACCATTCTGTGTTCGTCTGTCTCTCCTTCCTGTCCTCTCAACCAGCCGGTCAAAGCAGATGACCGCTTGTCCTGAGCCTGGTTCTGCTGGAGGTTTCTTCCTTTTAAAAGGGAGTTTTTCCTTTCCACTGTTGCCACTGTGCTTGCTCAGGATGGGAGACTGTGGCGAAGCCAAGATTCATCTTATCTGCTGGATTCCTTAGATAGAGAACTTTATTAATTGGCTTTTATGTATGTGAATGTTTCTGTAAAGTGCCCTGAGACAACTTTGTTGTGATTTGGCGCTATATAAATAAACTGAATTTAATTATTTGCACAAAGTCTTGGCAAATATGTTTTTTTAATTTTTTTTTATGCTGGATGCTCTTTCTGATGCAACCACCAATGACTGAGCTACCACAGCCCTCTGTGTGGAGCAGAGGGCTGCCATCCAAGGCACCCGGTGGAGCAAGGGCCTTGCTCAAGCGCCCAGAGTGGGGCAAATGAGGGTGGAGGCATGCATACCTGCATGCATGCATACATACTGTATACAAGTGTCACTTTTTGAAAGGAATTACTGAAATAAATAAACTTTTTCATGATATTCTATTTTTATGACCAGCACCTGTATGTATGCAACCATCTACAACTAGATGCAGCCACACACCACTATGGAAGTCAGTACCTCAATTGTTTCTGAGGCTATCATTCTCACAACACAAACAGAGGGTATTTCCAATATTTCAAATTCCCCCTCTTGGCTCTGAGATGTGACAATAAAAGGTGGTGGGACATCAGCAGTGACTCTACCTTCCTCTTGATGTTTTCCAGCAGATCATCTTGTCCATGTTTGAAGTAAGGATGCTGGAACTCCACAGGACCGTCTCTCTCCTGTTTCACAATCCCCGTGTCAATGTGCATCACCTTCCTGAACCCATCTAAGAACAGATGAGCAGAAGAAAAACAAGACGTGATGCAAAATGTTGGGTTTAAAAGCTGGAGACACAAATACTCCACTATGCATCATTATTTCCCTCAGTACTGACATGACAAAGAAGGAAAAGCTCCAACAACCTACAGGATTCATTGAAGTCACCACTAAGAGCTAACAGCATTTATGTGAATAAAGAGTACAAAGCTTTCTTTACTTTTCTATTTTTGTTTTTTCCTTACATGTAAAGGAAAAACAAAACAATGACATATTAATAACCACACACAGAGATGTCAGTCAGAAATTAAAGGCAAGACAGAGTTTGGATTGTTTGTCTGAGTGATCCTGAGCAGGACAAAAAAAAAATGACCAAGAAAGGTGACGAGATGTGGACGTGCCCCTCTGCCTAATTTTGGACAGAAACAGTTTTTATGTTATTGTTTGGATGTAAATAACAAAAACAGACTTGTAGTGTGAACATTTAGTAACATTTAATACTAAAAGCTGTCCCACATGCATGCGGGCTGAAGAATCAGACGTTCCACGACCAACTGCCTGCCATTGGTTTATCTGAAGACAGGAAGTAATTAGTTGCGGTAGCGTGCACCGTGTGCGCATGTGCCGTGCACTCATATCTTTGTCAGTACAAGCAAAGAACAAATTATAAAGTAGGATTCCACCCAGACCTTCTTCATGCCCTATTCAAACCCTTTTCAGACATGGCACCAGCATCTGTACCATATGATCTGACCTTAATTGAATAAAGTAGGGGAGTGGTGGTGCAGAGGTTAGAGAAGATGGGCCTCTGATCAGAAGATCGCCGGTTCAAGCCCCGGTACGACAACATCAAAAATGTGGGTGGGGTAGGTGAAGCACCCACACCTGCCCCCATTCTCATTCATCCCACTCTGGGCCCTTGAGCAAGGCCCTTAACCCCCCACGATCTGCTCCTCCGGGTGTCCTAGATAGCAGCTCTCTGCTCCACACAGAGGGCTGTGGTAGCTCGGTGGTCTGTGGTTGTGTCAGGATGGGCATTCGGCGTAAAAACAACTGCCAAGTCTTCGTGCGACTTAGTTCACTGTGGCGACCCCTAACACAGGGAGCAGCCGAAAGAAGAAAAAAATTAAATTAAATTTCTATCACAAAAGCAAAGATAAAAAATATATATACAGAACAATAATAATTTTGTACAAAATGAGAAAATGATTAGAAGAAACCTCCATGTCTGAAGACTTCTAACCTACAAAGCTCTCTACAAGCAACCTGTAGTTGGGCTCTCCTCTCTCATTAGAGCTGTCATTTCTAACCCAAACCCGCAGCCTGGCCCCGCCCGACCCGGATTCGGACCGGGCCATAATAATTAATGTGTTGGCCGGGTCAGTGTTGGGTTTTTTATTGCTTCAGGGACATGTGCGGCCAACGATACAATATATGCCAACATGGCTTGCCATACTAAACCTGCCACACGCGACCATTTGACCGCGCGCTGACCGGCAGGTTGAAAGAGGTAAAAAGTTCAGTTAAGCTTCAGATGGACTACTTCCAGTGATCCATCAGCCCAAATGGACGTTCATTCAGCCGCTGCACTGAGTGGATGAGCGCAGCCGAGACCCAAACAGGTGAGATCAGAAAATATCTGACATGTCAGAGCAGGGTTTAATGCAGGCTGAAGCAGGGGAAGCATTTAATGCGCTTTGATGGCTCCTCAGCTCTGATCTTCTGTCCCCTCAGCTGCACGCATCTGCCAATTAATAATAGTCGAAGGTGTAAGCAGTCAAAGCTTAAAAAAAATGTCAGGGTTTTTTCCGGGTTCGGACCTGTAATTACTCTTTAATTTGTCGGATCGGGTGGGGTTCGGAGATGATGGCTGCAGACTGGGGCCGGGTCAGTTCGGATTATTTGGACCCAAGTGTAACTCTACTGGGAGACATGAGTAAGTTTGACTGAAAACAAGGCCTCGTTTTTGGCTACAGATTCTGAAGAGACCGGTTCTCTGGAGGGTCTTCACAAATCTCCAGACTGGAATAGATAAAAAATACTCCAAAATTCATTTTAGACGTAGAAGTGGGGAATGGTGGCACAGAGGTTAGAGAAGATGAGCCTGTGATCGGAAAGTCGCAGGTTCAACTCCCTGGACTGACTATATCAAAATGTGGGTGGAGAAGGTGAAACACCCACACCTGCCTCCACTCTCATTTGCCCCACTCTGGGTCTCTGAGCAAGAGCATTAACCCCCACCATCTGCTCTTAAACAGGTCTTTCTTGAAAACGAGTCCTCGTGACTCATTGAGACTACTATGCTTTTAAAATGTATGTTTTTAACACCAGCAGGATCTAGTTTTAAATTGTATGTTTTCTGTTTTTAAACTGTTTTTTATTTTCACTTTTATTATGTTGTGTTTTAATGTACAGCACTTTGTGTCAGCTATGGTTGTTTTAAGGTGCTTTATAAATAAAGTTGGTATGGTATGGTACCTGTATAAATAAAGGGTAAATGAAAAGTGGGGAAATGGCCTTTTTTAAATTGCCATGAAATAAATATTTTGTAAATGTTCAAATTACTGAAATGTGCATGTTTTGTAAACAAAAGACTGTTAAAGAGTTAAAATAAAGTCATTTAAATTTGATATTTTTATTTCAGGATGAAATTGTGATAATAGACCGACTAGTTATTTGTGGAAAAATATATTTAAAAAATAGTATTTTCAAGCAGTTGAACAAGGTGGAGCACTGTGGCGCAACTGGTAGAGCTGCTGCTTCTCAGAGAGAAGGTTGTCGGTTCCAAGTCCTGGGGCCTTTCTGGGTGGAGTTTGCATGTTTTCTCCGTGCATGCGTGGGTTTTCTCCAGGTACTCCAGTTTCCTCCCACAGACCAAAAACATGCATGTTAGACTGATTGGTAACTCTAAATTGTCTCTAGGTGAGAGAGAGAGTGAATGTTGTTTGTCTCTTTGTGTCCCTGTGATGGATTGGAGACCTGTCCAGGGTGTCCCCCACCTCTCACACAGTGACTGTTGGATATGGATACCGGCAACCCTCGTGACCCAAAACGGAAGAAGTGGGTAAAGATAATGGATGGATGAATTATAAATTATTATATTCTAACTTGGGTTTTAAAATGGACAGTGATTTTAAATTAGAGTCCCAGATTGGAGCGGTGGTCAAGACCAGTTTTTATCACCTCAGACAGCTGGCTAAGGTAAAGACCATCCTTACAAAACAGCAGCTGGAAACAGTAATCCATGCCTTCGTCACCTCTCGGCTGGATTACTGTAACGCTCTTTACCTTGGAGTCAGCCAGTCCTCCCTCAGACGCCTCCAGTTGGTCCAGAACGCTGCTGCTCGGCTTCTAACTGGAGTTCAAAAAAGGGAGCACATCACCCCCACTCTGGCTTCACTCCACTGGCTGCCTGTTCATTTTAGAATTCATTTTAAGATTCTTTTATTTCAAAAAGCGTTCAATACAAAAACAACTGGACTTTATTTGTAACAGAAGACGTTTCGCTCCTCATCCGAGGAGCTTTCTCAATTCAAAGAGCAGAGAGTGAGAGATTCAGGTTATAAGGCTGAGTGAGATAAGACACACACACACATAAGACACACACACACACACACACATGTAGATTGGCAGTTCACACCTAAAACCTAAAACAGTAGGTCTTTGTTCCTCTAATTCACAGACGAGGCCCCTCTGTTCCCATCAAGTGTGAAAACTGGCTGGGAATCTGTTTTAAAGTTGCATTATATGTTTTTGAAAGTGGAAATCTGAGGCCTCCTCCTCTGTTAAGAGACAGCTTTTCTCTTTTTACATAAATTGCTTCCTTCACCCCTCTCTCAAACCATCTGTGTTCTCGGTCCAAAATGTGCACATTTTGGTCCTCAAAAGAGTGTCCCTTATCTGTGAGATGGAGGTGAACAGCTGAGTCTTGTCCTGTGGAGCTGGCTCTCCTGTGTTGAGTCATGCGTCTGTGAAGAGGCTGTTTAGTTTCTCCAATGTAGAGGTCTGGACAGTCCTCGCTGCACTGGACCGCATACACTACATCACTCTGTTTGTGTATGGGTGTCTTGTCCTTAGGGTGGACCAGCCTCTGTCTGAGAGTCCTGCTGGGTTTGAAATGTACTGGGATGTTGTGTTTGTTGAAGATCCTTCTGAATTTCTCTGATACTCCAGCAACATAAGAGATGACAATGTTTTTACGTCTGTTGTTCTCCTTTTTCTGTTTATTGGTGTGTTTTGTAGATTTCCTCGCTGACTTGTCTTCTGTTACAAATAAAGTCCAGTTGTTTTTGTATTGAACGCTTTTTGAATTCATCATGTCCTGGATGACTGAGAATCTTCACCAGCATATTCTTTTATTTGTTTTTAAAAGTTTAAATGGTCTTGCTCCATCCTACCTCTTTGAGCTGCTTCACCCATACTCTCCTGCTCGGTGCCTCAGATCAGCTGATCAGCTGCTCCTGGAGGTGCCGAGGTCTAAGCGGAGGCTCAGAGGGGACAGAGCTTTTTCTGTTGCTGCTCCAAGACTGTGGAACGATCTCCCTCTTCCCATCAGACAAGCCCCTTCACTGTCCAGTTTTAAAACTCTTTTAAAAACACATTTTTACTCCCTGGCTTTTAGCACACACTGAATTTACTCTGCACTGTTTTTATTACTTTTATTGATCTTAATGTCTTAACAACTGTTTTTATGTGTTTAAATGTTCTTGATTTTATATGTACAGCACTTTGAGGCAGCTGTGGTTGTTTTAAAGGGCTTTATAAATAAAGTATTATTATTATTATTATAAATGTGCACATGATGCATTTGACATCAGTCAGATTTCATGATCTTGTCTGAAGTTACAACAACAAAGTTTTTGAGCTACAAGCATTCAGGAGGGACATTTGCTACATGACTCCCAAGACAATTCACTGCAAAATAATTCCTAGATACTTCCAAAATTGAACCTCTTCACAATATTCTAGTTTTCTGAGACACTGAATTTTTTTTTTTTTTTATTATCTGTAATCCATAATCATCAAAATACAAGAAATAAAGGCTTGAAATATTTCACTCTGTGTAATGAATCTATGTAATATACGAGTTTCACTTTCTGAAAGGACTGACAAAAAAAAAAAAAGAACTTTTTCACAATATTCCATTTATCAATAAAATACCACAGCTGCTGAGGCTGTTGATTAAAAATGTTACATTTATTTAGACCATTTTTCTTCGTTAGTATGGAACATATTAATATTTATTTATTCCTTTAGTTCAGTGTCAGTATGGAGTTTGAGTTATATAGTTAGTTAGATTTATTAATTTATGTTTTCTTTTTTAAATCACTTATTTCTGATTTCTAATGAAACCATTTGATCACAGCCCATCAAAACAGGTTTAATAAAAAAGTGAAAATCCAAGTAGCTACAAACTTTTCACCTTCAAATCAAGGAAGACATAAAAATACAGATAAAATAAGTTCAGGCAGACTGAGGCTGATTGAGTCAGGGAAACACTCAGGACTGACTGCAGAAAACAGAGTCAAACTCATTGAAGAACTTAGTCCAAACAGCTTGTTGAAGACCAGGGGGTGGGGGCCTCTTAATGAATTGAACAGTCTGGATTTAATTTCCTTTCACCTCAAAGTTCAATCAACTCTTTTCTTTGTAAATCAAATTATCAAGAGGTCCAAATTTTATTTTCTCTGCTTAAAAGTCAACAAATCACCAAATGAACTCATCATGAAGTTGGTTCTGTTTTAAACAAGACTCTTCCTCTCAGCACGAAGCTGCAGAGAAGCAGTGGACCTTGAGTTACATTACTGATGGTCCCAGAGTGGAGCATGTTTGAACTGCTGCCACACAAACTATTTCAAGAGCTGAGAGGCTTCAGGGACCATTTTCACCACAACCAGAGACAGTTTCATTCTTGGTTCACGAGACCAAACACAACTTCAAAAAAAATCTTTTGACGTTAATCCTGTGGCACAAAATCTTGTTCCATTTTTATTTGTAAAGTAACACAGCGTCTATTTTTTAAAATAAAAGTCTTACACATATTGAGCTGCCTGATGAAACTGGCCATGTTGTTGTGCTTGAAGAACTTGGGGAGGATCTCCTTAGCAAAGCGCTGCTCATCCAGAACCAGAAAGCTGTTGCCCTCCTGAAAACAACAAGCAACAGTTAGCAGAGTCACTGCTAACAGACATTATTCGACATTAAATACAGGTCCCGTGTGGGAAAAAAAACTATCATCAGCGGTGACGCATAATAGATGCAACGTATACAGCGAAGCGACATATTTGTTTTTTTACTTTATTAGACATATTTGGACTGATGCGACTTATACAGCAGCAAGTACGGTAGTTGGGCTCTCCTCTACACAGCTTAGCCACTGAAACCTGATTTCTGAGGAGTGGCTAGACTCTCCTACGCTAAAGTTGCTAAGTTAAAGAGACAAGGGGCAGGTGTGGTAATATTTCGAGTCCCCTGCTTAGCATTTGAGTATGTGAACCCTTCACTCACTGCTCTTTGAATTGAAAAAGCTCCTCGGATGAGGAGCGAAACGTCTTCTGTTACAAATGAAGTCCAGTTGTTTTTGTACTGAACGTTTTTTGAATTTATCATGTCCTGGATGACTGAGAATCTTCACCAGCATCTGATGCGAGTTCTTAGCGTTGAACAAAGAGGTCTCCTCTCTGTGGCTTTGAACAGCAAAATGGAAGGTTCTGTCTGTGCTTTTGCACTGAACTATAGTTCAGATTACCCAGTCTTCTTGGAATCGCTAGACGGTGTCCTGAAAGAATACCCTTTGAGAACTGTAGTGTTCTCCTGGGGGACATCCACTCTCATGTGGACAAGCAACGTGGTGCTTGAAAGTTTATGAACCCTTTATAATTTTCTATATTTCTGTATCAATATGAGCTAAAACATCATCAGATTTTCACACAAGTCCTAAAAGTAGATCAAGAGAACCCAGTTAAACAAATGAGACAAAAATATTATGCTTAATCATTTATTTATTGAGGAAAATGATTCAATATTACTGATTTGTGAGTGGTAAAATTATGTGAACCTTTGCTATCAGTACAGTACCTGGTTCTCTCTCCCCCCAGGTGCAGCAATAACTGCAACTAAATATTTCTGGTAACTATTGATCAGTCCTGCTCACCGGATCAGAGGAATTTCAGTCCATTCCTCTGTACAGAACAGCTTCATCTCTGGATGTTGGTGGTTTCCTCACATTAACTCCTGCTTCAGGTATCACTTGATTGGATTTCTGTGCCGGGGATGGCCTGTCCAAATGAAACCTTTCTCAGTCCACTCCATCCTGCCTGGACTCTCTTCATCTCTTTACTACAGGCTGCTTGTTCATGTTTTCAACTTCCTTTTTATCAAAAATGAAGTGATCTGACTCATTATGAAAGGCAAAGGACAAAACAACTCCCATCAGTATAATAACTCAATCTTTGAGGTACTGTAAAAGAAACGTATATACTGATAAGTAACTGATAAAAAAATCAATCAATCAATCAACCTTTATTTAGACAGGTAAATCCCATTAAGCCTCGAGGACTCATTTACAAGAGAGACCTGATTTCAACAAAGAAAGATGACAACAATGGACAACAGCAACAACAATAAACAATTATAAAAAGTCATACTACAGGTTTTTTTTTTTTTTTAACAAATAGGATGACTAAAAGGAAAAGGTAACAAAAAAAATAAAAATAAATAACAAAATAAAACAGCTAGATTCTAAGGTGAATGTAGAAAACTAAAAACAGGAACATGTCTGCATTGGTCCCTGCCAGGAGTCCAACAGATTCTTAAAGCCACTTAGAGAGGTCAAGGTCGAGAGCTTCAAATCTTTTTGTAAGATATTCCAGGAAACAGGAG